CAAGCCTCAGCATTGGACACCAGTCTCTTCATGACTCTCTTTATGGTATCATTATCTGGAACTCTCCAGCTTGCTCCTTGTGCCCCAGCCCTACCAGATGACCTGCTGGTCCCCGCCAGCACATGATCTTGCCCTCCATTACCTTTGACATCATCTCCTACCACTCTTCCTCACCCCTCCTCACTGTTTCTCTAACCCACCTCTGTGCATTATTTTTTTTTAAATATTTTATTTATTTGCTTTTAGCAAGAGGGGAAAGAAGAGAGGGAGAGAAACAGCAATGTGCGAGAAATACATCATTCAGTTGCCTCTCACACACCACCAGCTGGGGACCTGGCCCACAACCTAAGCATGTGCTCTGACTGGGAATCGAACCACCAGCTTTTTGATTCACAGGCCGGTGCTCAGTCCACTGAGCCACACCAGCCAAGCCTCTTCATTCTCGCTTAGAACATATGCACTGGCTGTTCCTTATGTCTAGAACCCTCTTCCCCCAGATATTTGCCTGGCTAGTTCCTTCACCTTCTTCAAGATTACCCAAGTGTTCCCTTCTCGGTGAGGTTTACCTTTGCCACTCTATTTAGTTTTGCATACTGGTTATTCATTTTACCTGTTACGCTCATCATTTATGGTCAGTTCCCTGCTGTCCCACCCCATACCCCTCTCTGCAACATGTGAGTTCCAGAAGGCAGGGAGTTATTTTGTCTTATAAAGTTCATTGATATATTCTAACTACCTAAAACAGTGCCTGAGAAAAAGTAGGTGCCAAATAAATTTTTGTTGAATAAACTGAATGCATAGATGTACATGTTACTTTATAACTCTCTTTTCACATGTTCTTCCCTATGTCTGAAATATCCTAATCCATTCTAGTCCCCCTCGTATTGATACTTTTTACTTCAAACAGTTCTTGTTTACGTATTTGTTTCCCCAACTTCTTGGGTTGGGGGAACACATCTTATGATATCTTTCTATGTCTGTCTCTTAGTACATACCAGAAAATAAGAGGTAACTCAACTGACCTGAATAATGTTGTATTTCAAGGAAATGGCACAAATCCATAGATCATATTACAAACTGATCAACTTACACAGAGGAGCTCCTTCTAGAGCCATCAATGACCTTTGTTCCACAAGGCCTTTTGTGCAACACAAAAGGGACTGGTTTATCAAGTTAGGTAACTGGTAGAGGCAGGTGCTAATTTTTGCAAATTCTATTTTGCCAGGATTTCAGAAAATTCAATTTGGTCATGAAGAGCTAGTCACAAACCAGATGGTTAGTGCATTCTGATTTTTAGAATTGGGGAATGCTCCCTGACTAAAAATAAGTTAAGAGAAATGGAGAGTGGAATCCTTATTACTTAGTCATTTATGTAGGACATTGTATGAGTGATTTTACATATATTTACTCTTATCCTCACAACACACTCGTGAAGCAATAGTATGTCTATATTTTACAGATGAGGAAGCTGAAGTTCAGAGAATTAAGTAACTGCTTAAGGTCACACAACAGTAAGGGGCATGACTGGAATTGACCCAAATTCCCTATGGAACAAGATCCCAGCCCTTTCCCCGGCACTGGGTTGCGTCCCTTCCCACAGTGCGGAGTTTTAGTCTCAGTATCATCTTCCTATACATTATGAACTCACCCACCTGTTTTATTGTCTTTGCATCTGTGGTGTTTGTTTTTTTCATATGTCCAGATTGTGGAATGTTTCCTACATCGTACTCATTCTTTCAGTGTTCAGACCCTACAAAAGTATGGAATCTAATAAGATTTAATGCTGACCTATGAACACCACAAAATATAACACAGAAACCAATCAAATCATAGGCCTGTTTGGAAGAGGCGCCCCTTTCAAGTGAGCTTCCTGAAAAACCCCACCCACACCTTTCCCAACGGGACTGGTGGGCCAGCACCCAGGCCCTTTACCTGACCTGATTTGGTCATGAAGGGTGGGTCTACAAATCTGCATATGAACGTTTTCATTTCCTGTTCAAGGATTTCTAATTCCTTAGGCGAAAACAAAAAACAAACAAAAACAACGAGGGAGGAAGTGAGGGAAAGTGGGAGGAGTATAAGAGAGGCAGTTTGCTGCAATTACATTTTGAACAGCCAGAGCATATGCTATGCCTTCTCTCAGGACTGAACAAAAAACTTATCAGTTAAAAGAGCCCTTTGAGGAGAATTGTGATGGAGGACAGACTCGCCAAAGCATTGAGAAGTCTATTGCAAAGAAAAAACAGTACTCAGTTCTGTTACAGCCATCTCTTGTCATGATGGAGGACATGAAGGGTAGAGGAGTAAAAAACTGTCACAGAGCAAAAGACCATATTCACCAACATTTACTCAATCCATTGACTTAATTCCGGCCAGGAAAAAGCAGCAGGAAAGACATTTAGCCATCAAAAAGCTTAGCTGAGTAGAAAAATAAAGATGCCAATTATGTAGCCCCCAAGGTCAAAACTGGAAAATACATGCTCTGGGGAAGGCTGAAGATACTTCCAGAAGCTTCACCTCTAGTACCTACTGCTCACTGCAAAGACATGGGTGAGCAGAACTCAGTCTACAACCAGAGAGCAATCAATCTGTTGGTCCACTGCTTCTGTTGATAGCCACTGGTTTGATGTTCCGTCATTCGTCTCTGTTGTGAGTGAACTTGGGAATAAAATGTACATCATTCAATTTTATGGCTGAGAGAGACCTTAGAGATCAATCTTATCCACCCCCTCATTTTACTGATGAAGTTTCTCAGGCATAGATAGATTTAGGAAATTCAACTTTTCAACTTTCATGAGAACATAAAGTCCAATAACAAAAAACACACTCTAGATTTGTCAGGGTAGTGCTGAATTTGCATATCCTGCCTGGTTGGCCCCATTAGTATACCTGTACTTGTCAGAGCATGTGTTCCAATTTAAGATTTGCAAAAATATGATCACCTTATGGCTCCAAAAATAGGGTTGGAAAAAATAAAATGTTCAGAAAATCTGGTTTGGCTTGTGCATCCGCACTGAGGTACACAAACTGGTGAAGGGAAGAGAAAAGAAACATGTTCTACTCCTTTTCTCATTTTTTAAGCTTTCATGGAAATATATGCTTTGGGGGGAAAACTGCAAACATATGGAGGCCCCCTCCTAAGCTATTGATAAAGGTAACAATAGGAAGAAACACAGATAGTTAAAGGAGGAAAGAAGTACTTATACCTGGCACAGAGTGTATTAGAATTTAGCAGGTCCACAGAATTAATTTTCACGAATTTCAACAGCTTAAGAGTACTCTGTGCAAAACAGATCTAAATATATTAGGCCCGTGCAGCTAACCTGGGGGCAGACAGAGCAGGGGAGATGCTGGGAAGGATGAAAGCCAGGAGGTGAAGGAGACTGCTGCCTGAAGGGCCAGGTGGCTGTCAGAAGGGATCTGTGAGGGCAAGAAGGACCCCGAGAGACAGGGGTTGTGGGTGAGGGGCAGGGCACTCCCCTCCTCCCAGAATCTGCTCCCTCCACCAAAGGAGGTGAGAGCCCCCAGAACTTGTCTTGGAGTCAAAGAGCAGCCAAGTTAGCTAGCGAAGCAGGAGGCGAAGAAACTGGAAAGGAGGCCTCAGGAACCCTCTTTGTGTAAGGAAAGTAAAATCCACAATAATCTCAGGAAACGTTAAAGAGAACAGAAGAGTGAGCCTTTGTATTAGCCATAGCTCTTTGTTTACACTGAAAATAGAAACATGAAAACTAAATTGCTGGCAGCTGCCTTTTTTCTTTTCTTCTTCCTCCCTTCACACAGTGCATAACTATGCAAACATCCAGGCCCTAAAAGGACATTAAATATTAGCTGGTGGAGTCTTAACATCCAGGAGCAATCCAGAAGTATTTACATAGGGTGCCTGAATAACTCCTAAATTCTAAAAGCATTGCAAGTCTAATATTCCCCAGTTAAAGAAAATAATCAGAACTTCTAAACATTTCCTAAGCTAAATAATAAAACATTCTTTGATCTAAAATTTAAGCAATGATTTGGGGAAGTATTTACACATTATTGGCCCTTTTCTTTTTTAACATAGACATTGTAAGAGACAAAGTTTTATTACTAGTTAAGAAAGGATCTTTTTCTCTTAGCATTAACTTTCTCTTTCCTACCTGCACAATAAAAGGGGGTGTGCGTTAATAAAGCCTAATCAGATAGTGACTTGTTCGCCACTTACACTCTGTGCCCTTTAATACCTTTCATTCACAGAGCTGTTATCTTTGTCTTGTACTTAGTGACCGTTTTTTTTTTAAAAAGTGGACATTACCTCCTCCACTTTACAGAAAACAATAAGAATTGCACCACAGGAATGGCAATAAAGAGGTTGAGAAGTGCCTGAAGTTCACGTGCTAGCAAATTTGAGGTTGTACGTTGAAAGATTGCCTGCGCGTCATTTATCTGCTTCCCCATATTCATCTTCCAATCAGGGCAACGGAGCACCTAGCTGATTTACTTCCTGTTTCTTTTGTATTTCCCCTTCTGATTTTTAGAGGCTCCAGTACAAGGGTAAAAAAAATATGACTCTTCTGGTTGTGTATGTGTTGTTGCTGTTTATAGACAAATATTATCATTTCTGTATACATGCATCTCCCCAAATAAGTAGATTATTATTAACTCTTATTATCTACTTGAAAAGCAACTTCACATGCTTACTATTTTCAAAACTCAAGCAAAAAAGCAAAATGCCTACCACATAGTAGAAAAGGATGGATTGCTTTAAAAAAAAAAAATCAGTGAATGAATGAGTTCTTTGCTTCTGATTGAACCTACTTGGAAACCCTACCTAATACCAATGGATTCCAGGGAATCATGTTCCATGTGGCAACTCAACCTCTATTGTTTGCTTTGGGACATAGTTTCCTTTTCACACTAAGGGTATAGACTGAAATATAAACAGGAGTATTTTGCTTCCTCTGTATATCTTGGGCTCTAACCATTCACCATGTATTATGTCAGTCGTTTCTTTCTGATCTCTCCAGGACAGAACACTATTCCATCCTGTGAGCAACAGCTGCATGGATTGCAACCCTGCAGAGAAGAAGATTTTCATGGCCAGATGTGACCCTCTATCTGAGACTCAGCAGTGGATTTTTGAACATATTAATATGACTGTTTTAGAAAAATTTAACCACCATGCCAGCTCCTAGAAAAAAAGAAGGAAGAGTGATTACCTACAGATTCTAAAAACTGACTTTTTGCCAGCGTCTGGGTCGAAGGAGTCAGGAATAACATTTCCTAGATCTAGGAAGCCTGGTTTCAAGTTTCGTGAATGCCGCATCAAAGTAGGTTGTCCTGGAGCACTTCCTGCATCTGAAGAACTTGGCTGAGAACCTCACCAGCTGCTTCTGAGCACTTGAGACTAGCAGTTCCCTTGCTGGCCAAGGGCGAGGATTATTTAGGGACTTTTCGAAACAACTGCTGAGTTAACAAATCCTAGCATTTCTCAGGTCAAATCCTGCAGTAGTGAGTAGCTATGAATGGATCCTATCATTTGGGAGGGAGGGGGGTGGCAGTAGAGTGCATGACTGCTCTAACAACCTGAAGACACCACAGGTACAGGACTAGCCGCACTGAAGGGGTGAGCGGTACTCTTTGGTGCCATTCTCCAACTAAGAATGGGTTAAGCAGGTTTAACCCTTAAAAGTGCTGCAGATGATTTTAGAGTGCTCATGCCATTCTGTTTTCTTGTTTTGTTTTGTTTTGTTTTGTTTTTAATGAAGGTGTGCTATCTAATGTAAGACTTAAATTACATCATGAAATGAGCTTCCAGTGTTTCCATTCTTGCATTGGCCATTTTCCTTTTAGAACAGAAGTAAATTATTGTTCATAAAAGGTCATGCTCCACCCATCAGCTGAAGTTCTAATTCAGTGCCCTTGTATGAATCCAGTTTAAAAACAAAAACAAAACACTATGCTACCAAGTTACTCCAAAGAGAAAGATTTCACAGGAGCAGCAAAACCATGTAAGATTTAGGAGAGGGATTTCCTTAGGAAATCTATTTTTACTTTTCTATTATTTTTAGAATTTTAAAAGTCTGATGTTTGCCCAGTTATAATTTTTATTAAGGAAGGAAATGGAGTGAGGTTGATGTAATTTGTTTAAGGAGATTCTTAAACCCAAATAAATCTACACTCCAAGTGGTGTGTGAAAATGTCTTGGTTCACTTCAATCTGTTTGATTAGTCCTTGGAACATAGAAGTGGCTTTATTTGTTTGGTTTTAGGTTTTTTTGTTTTATATCATTGATACTAATGATGTTTTTGTTTTACTTGGAAGTACCCAGGAGGAATTTCCATTAATAGTTCCTCTGACACCATTTTCTGTAAATGAGACAATATTTCAGGGGTGAAGAAAGAAATGATTAAAAAACCAAATGGAACATTTAATCCTTAAAAGAATTTTTATTTCACTTTTCAATAATAATGAAGATGAAAGAGGACTATATAGGAATCAAGATGGCTCTTTAGAGGGAAAAATCGTATTTATTATACATTTCTCAAGTTTTTTCAAGAAGAAAAGAAGTTTTTAATTTCACTTTCATTGTTTTCCTTTAATTTGTTTTCTTGTTGACTAAAAAAAAAATGTATACATTGTCTTGGATATAGAAGCATTGAATTTTAGGATTGTTTTTACAGATGAGTAACAAAAGGCCAGAGACAGCAGCCCTCATTCCTGGCAGGGCAGGTGGGCCTTCTGCCCCTGTTCTAGTGCTCCTGCTCCTGTTTTGTGTTGCCTCATTCTGTTACCCAAGGTGTTTCTGATTATTACTCTGATTTTTCAGTAACTAAATGAAATACCATGCCTCCCTGGGGATGCCTTCAACAGGAGCATTCATGTTCAGAAGATTTAATGTATGAAACCTCTTCTTGTAAACGTTCATGGTTTTGTTCTCTCCTCAAAATCTAATCAAAATGTCCAGTTGAACTGCCCTGCTAATAGTTGGGAAAGAGCTATTTTGTTATCTTTACTGATTTCTCAAGCTTTCTTTTGAAAAACTCTTCTCTGTAAACTGACAGATATTTTTTTTTTTTAAGTAAGTCGAGAGATCTTGAAGGTTTCAAGATGCAGAGTAGAGAAAATCAATAGTAAGAAATTAACCTGTGTGTTGAGCAATTCCAGAGACTGAGTAAAGCTTTATCGCAAGTATTCAGAAAGCAATGTGGTTTTAGAATTAGATGAGCCTATAAAAATCCACATTACATCATTAAACAGTTGACTGCTATTTACACTTCCACCCAAGAGCCAAACGTGGGCTCTGCACCCTGGATTGCCGTATGTCAGGGTGCTCTCATCACTGGAAACTAGCCATAGCGCATTTGGCACTGTCCTTTGAGAAAGCCTGGATACTGCACATTTTATTGTAACCCTCAGGATCAACAAAAATTGGTGTCCTGATTTCAGAGGGGCTATCTCTTGGATTTAATCTCACCTTTGAGACAAAGGATATAATATAAAAAATTAAAATTAAGAAAGCAACTTGAGAGAAGCTTAAGACAATCAAAGGCAAAATTAAAACTTCAAACTACCAACTGCCAAGACATTGTTCAATGTTTGCAAATGGGGACCATCCCAATAGAATAAAATGAAGCCAAAAGAATCTACCCCTAAGCTGAAGAACAAGGCACTGCCAATAAACACATTTCGGGAGGCGTTCCCCATACCGCCAGAGGTGGGGACTCCGCTTGCTGGAATTACCCCTATTGCCATTCTGAAAAGTAGAAAGTTTCATATGTTTGTATATTTATTTGGCAAAGAGGACTGAACAGTTTTCAGAAACATTCTCTTTCCTAGAAATAACATGTTTTCATGTTGAACGGTACAGTACTGACCAACCCTTTGATCAGAATGGAAGGAAAGGTGTAAAGTTAATTTGACTTCAGAAAATGCTACTTCCCCAAAAGAAGAGATGGTTTGTCATAAGTTAGAAAATAGTTAATTTTTTCAATACTTTTTATGTATTTACTGGGAAAAGTCTGTGCTGAAAGCAACTGTGGACTAATTGTGGGATTTATATTCTGTTCCAAGGCTGGATTAGTACCATGGCAATAACAACGTATTGGCATCTATGTCTACTGCTAGTTAGTTAAAAATATTAATATGATCACATGACTGTTTTTAAATGTATTCAGTATACAGAGGCCTCAGTGAATAATGCAAGTTACACAATTATTTTATAAATTAATAACGTAGAACTTTATATAATAAGTACATAACATTTGAAAATGGGTTTATAGTCAATGAAGGAGAATGTTAGGCCCATTCTGTTCATGTTCTTGCAAAACATAAAACCAATCCCAACACTTGACAGCATTTCCTTTAGGGGTGATTATATATCATTGGGTTTGTTTGTTTGTTTTTTACATAAAAACAGTCAAAAAGTAAATAAAGGGCATATAAACTGCTATTTTGTGCTTCTTACCCTCACATGAAAAACATATTTTTCAGTCCTTTTATAACTATCTCCATAAGGATAGCAAAAATGAATATTTTATTGGAAAGACCAGCACTATAAAGTTTATGTCAGACCTATCAAAGGAGCCAATAACACTTTGATTACAAAGCCCACAGTCCAGTCATGGAAGGCCACACCCACCACCGTATGACAGTTCCTGACCAGGGCTTCACACACCTGAGGACCAGAACAGAATTAATAGCAAGACTGACACACCTCCTGCTTTTGACTTGCCATCTAAAGTGTTACAGAATCTTTCCCAGGAATGGATGGCTCCCCCAGCCCTCAAATGCTGCCAAGTGATATTATTCAGAATTTAAAACCATTCTAATAATATGTGATGATTGTAAACCTTGATTTATCCTTGGCAAATTGTTTAGGAAGGCTGTAATAAACTTTCGTAAACAGATGCCGGAGATAAAGAAGTAAGGCATGGAAATGAGGAAGGAAACAAGGTCCTCCCTGTGAAGGAAGACCTCAAAGGGAAAATATTTTCAACTGATTCCGTATGATTCTGGGAGTAAATATAAATGGCAAGAGGTAAATCGTACTCTAGACGTGAGTGCACATAACCCCCTCCCTTCAGCTCGTCAACAAGCTCTACCCTTGCCACCATAACTCTCAGATGACACTACTGACTGTAATTACTGCCCATGTGTGAAACTGGCGAGAACACTGAGGCGTGACAAGTGGCCAGTCTTCCCCATACGGCCAACATTGGAAGATTGCTCTTTGATTTATGTCTGTAGCCTTTGCTTGCAGAACTGGGAGCTGCTTGCAACTCTATTTGGTAAACTTGACATTGGCCTGAAGCTTTTATTCACAGCCACTCATCTCTCCACTTGATGCACCAGGCTGCTGTGTCTGGTGCTGTGGCTTCTCAGCAGACAACAGCTGAGGCACATGTTTGCTACTTCAGAGAAACCTGGAAGCATTTCTTCTGTCCCTTCTGCCTGAATAGGCTCCCAAGGTTTCCGCAGTCTGCCACTCTCCGCATTTGCTCAGTCTCATAGTGATGTTACCCACCTCTGTACAGAAAGCCTGGCCACGTTTCCTAATCTTATTGTAGATGATTTTATTCTGACCTTTTACTCACCTTGGGGAGGGGTGTTTATAACTGAGATAGGTCCTGGTTTACCATGGACATTCCTGCTTTATGCCTGCAGTCCTATGTAACTATTAATACCATATTTTTGCCCATGTATAGTGCACACCCATGTTTTGTGCGTATTACGCATGGGATTATCATGTAATAGTTGTACCCATGTATAATGTGCATCCTTATTTCTCCCTCAAAAATTTGAGCCAAAAAAGTGTGCATTATACATGGCAAATACTGTAGTGCTCCATTTTACTTTTAAAAATGTCCTAGTTTGGATAGGACATTATACAGTTGCTCTGTCTATAACGCACCAGCCTGTTACTTCACAATTCTTCTAGGGAAAGTGAAAATGTCCTTTACTTATTAATGCCTATAGTCTCCAAGAAGTTAGCTGGTCTGACCCCCTCCCTTCAGACAGGACCAGATTAAACCAGTTATATTCGAAGATTGCCTATTGCATTCACACGTTTCTTTACTATTTGCTTAATGGAACACTTTTAATAAGAGTTCTTATCCCTATCTAAGTCTTTTTTGCTGCATTAAGACAATTATCACTTAAATGTTTTTTCACAGTTTAAAAAATTTATTTGTAA